TATGTCAGATATGCAACAAAGAAATGTTTACACTTAATAAAAAAAATATTTTACAGGTCTGTGCTTACAGGTCTGCAAAGTTCAGTCAAATGAATACCTGTTCCATTGACATCCCACATCATGAAGGTCCTAGAGAGAGACTTCTGTTGGTTCATCTGAGCTGGAGAACCTGCAGAAAACATGTGAACACATACAAGCTCTGCATTCTGAGCACCGCTGAAACAAACTTGTTTTTTTGTCTGATTATAGATTAGCTGCCTTATTTATCACATCATTCTAAGTGGATGTTGGTTTTCACTAAGATGAGAATCACTTGACAGCAACAGAGGAAGTCCGAGGTTTTTGGATAAGGGCAGATGTGTAACAACAACCTGCTGGAGTGTGAAACCTTTATTCTCATAAAATACGCAATACATGTCAGTCAGCTACCTCTGTTTGATCAGTTTGAAACTGGAAAAGTAAGCAAAGGAGACATAATGTTGGCATAATCTGTTTTTTCAGTCAACATCCTTCCAGTCCTCCCACTCTGGGTCCTCTAAGGTCACAGTTTCTTTTTACCTAACCGAACAGTCCCAATGCATAAAGCCTTATTTGGTGGAATGATCTCAGTTAAATGAAGTTTTTAATAATGAAAACACATTTTGTCCATGGTGACCTCAGCAAAAGAGTCAGCATGTTCTGATTAAACCAAATAAGTGAATAAATGCTACCGGATGAAGATCGAGATGTACATTTCAGCTTCTGCTCATTCCATCCTCGCTTTTGTCACTTAATCCTGGAAATAAACAGATAATAATACAAATCGTAACATTATTATAGTGTTAATACATAGTTTTTCTTTTGCCCAAATATTATTAGTAATAAGAATTAAATTGCCCAATTTAGATAATATTCAGAGAGTGAAAATTATGGCGTTACTTCTGTTCCATTTTTGCTGCAGGCAAAAAACGCGTTTTGTAAATGGAAATAAGAAAATAATGCAATCTTATATCAAATCAAATAAAGTTTTGAGAGCAACTTTGCTATTTTTCTCATATTTTAGTATCAGGCATGAAATCAGATCTAAGGGGGGGAAAAAAGCTAGTTTTCTCAAAAAAACCTTTTTGTAATCAAGCAGTTTTTCAAAGTTTTATTTCTAGATAGTTTTTTTAATGTCGAATGAAAAACGTTCACAGAATATCATCAGCAGTGGAAATTATTTAAATTTGCTCTGATAATTCTGTGGATTAGAGGGAACACTACATTAAAAAATAGCTTGAAGTTGATCTAACAAACTAGTTGAAACTTGTAATTTTGATAATTCAGATAAGTCAACTGGGTCAGAACCGTCCAAACAGTCCAGGTACTGTAGTTACCTCAAGCGCTGCCTCACATTCTGAGGATAGAATAATGATGCTTGAGGGAATGTCAACAATTTCATTATTAATAGACTAATTCTATTCATAAATAATCTCATAAAACTTTCCTGCTGACCACTAACTGTCTTCTAATTAACCTAAAACTTTTTATCTAGTGAATATCGGCTTATTATTGTATTAGAAAACTTCAGGAGCTCTAAAACTGTGTTTCAGAAGCACAGATATTGTTTCCCTCATGCTGTTGTTCATATACTGGGAGGTGTAAATCAACTTCGTCTCATTTCTGTACCAGGAACTCAGACGTTTCTGCATGTGATCACAGAGCCTAAAGCTGTGCACTGCTTTAAACATATTGATTGTCCAAAATTTTTTAAAAGCAAATACCACGTAATAAAACAACAAGAAGAAATTTAATGTTCTGCAAATTAATTTGATTCAGATTATGGAGGATTATAGAAGACAGGACTATGGTTTCCATCACTGCCTTGTTGAATCTGCTCATTCCCAGAGGTTCCCAGTTGTTTATCAAAGGCTAAAAAAGCAGTAGATGTTACTCAGAGTCAAACAGGGTGTAGAAGCAACGTATGTCCTGAGCAAACAGCTGAGCAGCTCAGCTCCACCTTGGCTGGAATATTATAAAAGGACTTGTCCTCCTGATGGGTTCTGTCATAGAGCGAATCCATCGGACCAACATGGGGCCCCAAGGACTCCCGCTAACACTGTGGTTGGTCTACCTGGCGCTGCTGGTTGGCTCCCTGTCTCAAACTGGTAAATGAAACGTTTCACAGCATCACCTTTGATGTAGTTTAAAAAATGTTTATTGTTGTGAATTCAGCAGCTGAAATGATTCAGGTTCCTGATGTAAATGTTTGTCTCTCAGAATGTCCTTCTTTCTGAGGAGCTAATTTTCAGTTAGGTCCTAATTAAAGCCTTTGATAGAAGTAATTTAAAGGTATAATGGAAGAGTTTTGCGAATAAAAAAAAAAAACAATGCACATAAACAACCCTATACCCGCTCCCTAGAGGGAACGTATATGAAACACGTGTGAGACCGCACGCTCGTGCACGCTCGTGCACACTCGTGCACGCTCTGTTTAAAAGTTGCTGTTAGCATCACTTTTACAACCTGATTTTCTGAAGAAGATTTGCAATTTTTCCACTCTGTAAAACGTAAAAATATCACCACAATAATTGACAATTAGGAAGACCAGTTATTTTGATGATCCACCTAAAAAAAAGAACATCCCTCCACTGTACCTTTAAGAGGAAAACTGTTGAAACTGAAGTCTTTTGAAACTGGTTCAAATCCCTCCCAGAATCCCCAGTTTGATTAAACCATTTCATGACCTTCACTAAAATCAAACTAATGCATAAAACATGCATACTGGGGTCAGTTATTCAGTTATTTCTTCTTTCTACCACAGTCTCTACTGTCACTTCTATACAAACACTGGATCTGAACTCAGGTAAAGCTGCAAAATACCAACATTTTCTGATTCTATAGATGTCTGTAATTATTTACTGATTTGTCGAGGTTTTTTTTTCTTCCTAGCCAACGCGTCTCATTTGGACCGAGTCTGCACAGCCTGGGGCCACTATCACTTCAAGACCTTTGATGGAGATTTCTTCCAGCTGGCCTCCACCTGTAACCATGTGCTGGTCTCCCTCTGCAAAGGAAGCTATGAGAGTTTTAACGTGCAGATGAGGCGCAGCCTGGTGGACAACATTCCCACCATCGGCAGCATCACCATGAAGCTGGATGGTTCAGTGGTGGAGCTCTCCAACAGCTCAGTCATTTTTAACGGCCAGCTGTAAGTTCAGCCCACTGACTCCACATATTAAACTACTTATAAATAACAGAATAAATCATTTATTATTTTGTCTCCTAAGATTCTTTTAGTTTGTTTTTTATCCTGATCATAAATCCTTCCTGTTTGCTGCAGGGTGTCTCTGCCATTCGTTGCGTTTGGAGTGACCATCAAAAGGACCACATCAAGCATCTTTGTTGAAGGGAGTCTTGGGATTAAGGCTGTCTGGAACCTGGATGACTCCTTAGACGTATGAAGGACACAAACACACCCTTATAAATCAGATCTTCTAATAATCTGAATCTTTTTACACAAGATAAACATTTTAAAACTCCTCTAAAAATTGTGAGGTGAATTTTGTTCCATTATTGTTGTATGCAAAAACACCTTTAGTAAGCTGGAATAGAAAAATGCAACTTAAAAAGGAAAATTTAAAAAGAGATTGTCAAAAAAAGGTGATGTAATATCTTCTCAGATTTTTTTCATTTACATTTTTTATTCTAATTTATTTTTCATTTTCTGAACAAAAAAAAATACATACTTTTTATACATCTTATTTTATTTTTTTCAGATTGTATTTTTTTCACTTTTATTTTTTTTACAGACTTAACATTATTTTTTCCAGGTCACATTTTAAAAATTATATTTTTCTTTTTAAAATGTTGTTCGCGGGTCACATTCCTTTTACTTCAACCTCAATACAATCTCATGACCTATACTATATTGTTTCTAATGTCTGTTTAGACCAATAGAAATTTATGTTCTCTCCTCACTCCAGAAAAAAGCCCCCAGAATTGAAAAGAATGTGATCTGAAAAGTGCGATTTGAAGAGAAAACTGTTCAAAGAGCTCGATCTGAAAAACTGAAATAAGGAAATAAAAAATGTAAAAATATGAAATCTCTTTTATAAAGTCTGACAAAAATATAAGAATTATAAAAGTTGAAAATATCAGATGTGCAAAAAAATTCGAAAACATTTTTTTTGAAACAGACATAAAAAATATGTATTTGCAAAAGTTACACTCAGAATTTTTTTCAAAATTTTATTCCTAGATGGCATTTCTTTCTAATTAAAAACCGTGTTCTATGTGTGCAACAACAATGGTACAAACTTTACTCCATAAAAATTCATTCCTCCTGAAGACACAGATTTTCCTTATCTGTCTAGATTTTTGCAGATGGATAAAAGCATTTATTTCTTTGCAGCTTTCTTAATTTTTAGTAAGTTTGTTTCCCTTTAAATTGTTCCACGTCCTGCAGGTTGGGGTGGTGGTGCAGTGTTTGGATTGGCCAATGAAATGTGATAATTGAGGTTTTAACCAGCAGTTGTTGCAGGTTGTGTTGGTTCAATCTAACAAGAACATCCTCCAGTCTCAACTCTGCATCTAAACCTATAAATATTTGTCACAATAATGAGATAAACAGGCTTATTAATGCTCTAAGTTTTATTGTCAAGAAGTAGATTACAACAAAGCACCTAAATTTCTGCATTATATGACCAATATTTGCTCTAGAAACTTTTCAAACCAAAAACTAATCTTTGTATCTGTGTAAATATGTTAGGAGGCACATTGCTGTTCTAATGTGAGCTTTACACACATTTCTATAGAAAATATCATGATTAAAATACTGACATGAATTCTAAAGATTTATTTTTTTATGTCTTTTTAGATCGAACTGGATGACAAATATCAGAACCAGACCTGTGGGCTGTGTGGGAACTTTGACAAGATATCCAATGATTTTATGAAAGATGGTACGGCCATTTATGATAATATCACAATGAGAAAAGCTGATTATTCCTCTGCTTTAAGTTCTCCTTTCTGCTGTCAGTGATTTTAAAGGTGTTAAAATACACCTGATGAGAGACAAAGATCAGCTCTGGTCAACATAACCAGTATAAAGCAGCACTAGCTAAATGTTCTTTAGTCAAACTATATTTGAGGGTCTTTTTCTGTAACTGCTCTGTTCGTCTGACTGTGTTGTTTTGTAGGAGCTGTGCTGTCTGTGGTTGACTTTGCTGAAATCTACAAAGTAAACGGGCCCACTGAGACCTGCGTGGAGCCAGACCTCAGCCCAGTCCAGAGCTGTGGGGACCAGGTAAACATTTATAAACCCCAAACTGATAATATCTCAGAATTCTGACTTTTTTCACAGAATTCTGGCTTTAATCTCAGAATTGTTGTTTTAATCATTTTTTGCTCTTCGATTAATGAAATAGCATCACCGGGGACCCACTGAAAAGTTAGAGTTTGGAGAAAAAAGTCAGAATTCTAAGATTAAAGTCAGAATTTTGAGAAAAAAGTCAGAATTCTGACTTTTTTCCCATGTTAAACTCAAATCAAATTTAGAAATCAGTTAACTTTTTTTATTTTTTCAGTGGCCCTAATCCTCTTCTATAGTTTTTTTGTTTGCAACATAACAAAGCAAATTTCCCTCTACATTTATTCAGGGTTTCAAACCTTTTTCTGTCCATCAGGTACTAGACATCCCTCCTAATCTTTACTAGCAAACCTCCCTTATATGTGTTAACCCTCCTTTAAGCTGATGGAGCCTCAGACTAAACTACCTTGTCCTTTTTCCACCAGCTGCTCTGTGAGGAGACCTTCTCCAATGATCCATTCAGCAGCTGCCAGAACCTTCTTGATGTTGAATCATTTACCAAAGCCTGCATGGCCGACATGTGCAACTCAGAAGAAAACACAGACGCCATCCTCTGTAAAACCATCTCAGAGTTCTCCAGACAGTGTGTCCATGCAGGAGGAAGCCCCCAGCCATGGAGGAACCAGACGTTCTGCTGTGAGTTCATGTTTTCCAATTTAAAGACCCTCCTTTTTGCCCTTAAATCAGTTATTTCATGTCAAGATTATTTCCCCCATAAATAGGTAAGCATAATTAAACTGACCTGTTCTCACAGACAAGCCGTGTCCGTTCAACATGGAGTTCATAGAATGTAGCAGCCCGTGTCAGGACTCCTGCTCCAACCCACAGGCCAGTCAGACCTGCGACTCCCACTGTCACGATGGCTGCGGCTGCCCGCCCGGTATTTCCACACTCATTAGGTCACATCAGGGTTCCCAACCAGGGGCTCCAAAATGAACACAGACTGATGGCCCCATAAAACTACATAGAAGTACTTGACTATTTGTTTAGTAGCAAATAGAAACTAAAGTCATTCATCCTTTTTAAAAGATATATTTAGAAAATAGAGTTTATTTTTTAAATGTATTTTTATCTAATAGGAAATTGAATATTTTAAACATGTATCAACTAAATTTAAAAAGTCTGATTTAATTTTTGACCCTCTGTATTTACAGTAAAAGTGTTGCGTAGTTTATCCTTTTTTGGTTTCAGCTGCAATAGCAATGTGCAAAAAAAACTTGTAGTGCAAGAAAAACCACAAAAACAATATAAAACAAATAGCTTTGATGAATAGAAAAAATTGTTTGAAATTTAAAGAAAAAGACGTAATCAAATCAAACAATCAGATATAAAACTCTTTTTTCCCCTAAATGAATGAAATCAAAGTTTCTTGGAACCAGATAGAAAGTAAAAAGATTTTAAAGTAGAATAATTAGATATTAAAATTATTGTAACTGTATGAAAACTTCTTTTGTGTATTTCTTTCTGTCCCTATATTAATATAGAAATCATTAAACATTCAGAAAATAAACATAAAGCAATAAATTGGTCTTGGGGCGTCAACTAAGCAGTCACTTTGTTCACTCATGCATTGGGCCGTCAATCACAATGATTCAGAAAACCACCTCAGGACCCTGCAAAGGGTCCCAACCCCCACTCTGAGGTTGCATGCTGCATATTAAGGAACATGCAGAAGGATTTCTACATATGGGACATGCAAACCATGCAAAATACGGCTCCAAACGAATCCTATGCAACCAGTTTAAAAGATATGCATTCCAGTCTGAGGTCGCTGGAGGTTCAAGATCAAGCATTGACCTCTTTTGTGTTTTCTGCTTGAAAAAAATATTGAATAAAATCCATTTTTCCTATTTAGTCCTTTTATAAAACACAGAATCATATGGTTTTGCCTCGCTATCAAAGTAAAGTTTTTACTCCCAGAAGCAAATAAAATTCCTTTATAAATAGACCAATGAAATAATGTAATGTAATATACACTGTGTAATGTGATGTAATTCCCACTAAAACTCATGGATATAGAATAAATGTTATATTTATAGAACAATGGGAGGAGATAATATTGGCTTCTGCTGTTTGTAAATGTAACTGAAAAGCATCTGTAAATGAAATGAATGTTGTTTGCAGATGCAGTATGTGATTAAATCGTAGTTTATGGCCAGTTTTTATTGGATTGACTTTTTATTGTATTATTGCCTGTTATCTGCTCCATTAAAAATATATGTTTTACATTTATGTGTTTTATTTAGGACCTAAGGAAAGCCAGCTGGCTGTATAGTTCAGCTAATAGGGATCTGAATAACTAATGAACATATCTGTCCTCCCTGCAGGAATGGTGTTTGATGACATCGGTGGCACAGGATGCATCACGGCTGATCAGTGCCCATGTGTGCATGGGAAGCGGATCTATCGCTCAGGAGAGTCCTACTCATTCAACTGCAGATCCTGGTAAGTTGGGATAATGTCTTACTTTATCAGGACCAAATATGGTGGGAAATACAATGATAACAAAACCTAGATTAGCTGTTTATTGTTCTATATATGACTCCATATTTGCTTTGAAACCCAGCTGGGTAGATATCTGCAGATGTCATAGCCTGAATTAAACTCTAATAACAGATGAGAATCGTTTTCTGTTCAATACGTCCTGGAGCTGCTCACCATGTCCTTTATGGGGTGAGCTTTGTTCCATTATTGTTGCAAGAGAAGCATATTTTGTAAACTGAAGTTTAAAAAAAAAATTTTATACTGAAATTTTACACATGAGAAATAAAACTTAAAAAAAAAGTTTGAAAAAAAAAGAGAGTGACATTGCTCTTTTCTCAGCTTTAAAAAAAAGAAAATTTCCAGTTTTACTTTTTCTAATTTTGATGCTTACAAATTCTATTTGTTTACAAAATTTGTGATTTACTGATTTATATTCTAAAAATTTTTCTTTTCCAGTAAAATTTTTCTCACATTATTTTTATATTGCCTATTTTTTATTTTTTTATTTTTTCAGATTGAGTTTTATAAATTGTATTTTTTTTCTTTTCATATTGCTTTTCACGGATCATCTTCTCTTGTTGCTAACGACCAGCAGACCAAAAGAAATCTTAGCTCCTAAGTCCAGAGGAAGGCCCGCCCCAGAGATGAAGAGAATATGATCTGTAAATGCAATTGGAAAATAATAAAGTTTGGAAAAATCTTTCTGAATGAAAGAAATAAAAAGAATAGATTTATTTTTTTGGAGAAATTAAAAATAACATAACAAAATAAATGCATTATCTGCAAAGAAATGTCTGAAAACTCGAACTTGAAATTATATTCTTTTCACACGTCCATTTACAAAACATGTTCTTTGCAACAATAATGGAACAGAATTCATTCTGTAGTCGATTAGGATCCAATAATCTAGTGAACCACAACTAAAGGAATGCTGTTTTAAATGAATGCCTGTCAGGAGAGGTGGAATTAAACTGTGTGTGTTGATAACAGCGTTTGTCAGAGCGGCCACTGGACGTGTGCAGAGGAGAACTGCTCAGGAACCTGTTCGGTGGAGGGAGGAGCTCACATCACCACCTTTGATGGAAAAATCTACACCTTCCATGGAGATTGCTCCTATGTTCTGGCAAAAGTAAAAAGCTTAATGGCTTCTGTATATTTAAATGCTGATGTTTGGATTTGTTTCATAATAAATGCACACTCCCCTACCCTGGTTTAGGTGTGTGGTAACTGTGACTGGTGTTAGCCCTGATGTCTTTGGTTTGAATGTGTGTTGCAGCAGAGTGACGGCTCTTTGTACACCGTGCTAGTGGACCTGGTCAAATGTGGTCTAACAGACAGCAGGACTTGTCTGCGAGCTGTTACTCTGGCTCTGGGCAGCAACGCCGTGGTAAGCCTTACACACCAACACATAAACGCCACAATATTCAAGACTTGTGACCAGGTTACCTTGGTTACATCTGACTTTAAAATAAACCTGGGTTGGACAGTAAGGAATACCTCTAAGATCATCACTGAGAGGTGATAATTACAAGTTCAGAGGAGAGCGGAAGAAATGAGATGTGCAGGAAGGAGCTGAAGAGAAGAAACAATTATATCAAGACTTAGATTTGGGCACACAGGATTAAACAGTACTTTATTCAAAATAGGTAAACATAACATTGGTAGGTGTGAATACTGTGAGTAATAAGAGACAATTGAAGATGTAATGGTACACTGTAAGAAGTATGAAAGGAAAAGGAGGGAAATTGTTCAAAATTTAAAAAAATAAAGAATACACTTTGATTTAATAGAAATCCTTAGAAATAACTGAAGAGATAAGTGTTACGTAATTGTAATTCATTATCTTAGATTAATCAATGTAATTAAGAGGATTTGAATCTTATTTTGGTTTTGTTGGAATTATTTTGTTTATTTTGTTTAGTTTTGTTTATTTTGTTTTGTTCAGTATAAGTAAGTAGTAGTCATTCAGATCCAGACTCCATATCAGTCGGTGGCGGTAATGCACCATTTTGCTGCGTGCCAACCTCAACCCAATAAAACCCCATAAAGAAGAAAATAGGTCACTATGAGGCGCCGTCACATTTGCTCACTCTGGTATTTTCTAACCGATTGACAGCTTTGCTGACCTTTGATTAGCAGTAGCAACCTCTGCATACCTTCTGAGCCCCTTTGCTTCCTTAAGTCGGCAACAAAACTCAAAACAATGACTGATGTTCTCCCAAGTTTTGCTATTTTTTTGTTTCTGTTTTAGACTGAATCTGAGAAATGTAATGCAGAGAGGAGGCCATTTCTCAGCACTAGCATGTCACATAATTATAACGCAGAGTTATTTTTAAGTTGACGTTGGCATCATAACCCAAAGTAAATGTTTTGATTACCCATCAAAATCTATAAAACCATCTAAAATGGCTAAAATCTTCAAAAATATTATATAGTGTTGGACCGATACCGATACCAGTATCGGGCGGGGCCCTAATCCGGCACTGAGTAACAACAAATAGGGCACTGATACCATTTTGAGAGCCAAAAGTTAATTCAATTATTGTCCCCCATTCCAGGTAGGCAATAAAAAGTTCTACTTCACTTTGTATTAGTCTTTTTCCTGGCAATAATTTTACATCCAAGTAGGATGCAGTTCTTCATATATAAACACACACATCAATTTCAAACAGATGGTATCGGTATTGGTCAATACTACACAGCCAGTTATCGGTATCAGAGCCTAAAAATGGCATCAGCACCATTATATGTACTAAAAATAAATAAGCATAATAACCAGAGCCCCCCCTGAGAGGAGCAGATCCATTCACATGAAGGTTTTCTTGCTAAGCTAACTTCATCACAATATTTTTTTGTTAATATGGCATTCTAGATTTGAATTTAAATCCTTCTTTTTTTCAAATGCTAATCATTTAAAATGTTTCTCATCCTACAATACCAGGTCATCAAAATTCAAGCATCTGGACAAGTTTATGTCAACAACATTCTCTCTCAGCTACCATTGTTTACACGTGAGTATATTTTAATATTACTCTCCATTCAACATAACTTGCTGTGTTTTTTCTCATTGACTTTTATTGGTTTCCAGTCATATTTACCTCCTAACCCTGACAATAACCATTAGCAGTGCATGCCTGACCCTAATCTTAACCTACATTTATTCGACACTTTAGTCCTAAACCTTGCCAATAGCAAAAATGGAAGTGAGGACCAGCAAAATGTCCTCACTCTCGTACAAATGGTCCTTGATTTGACAGTGAAATTGTAAAAACGCTCCTTAGCTTGAGCTGCCATTTAGTGTGCAGCAGCATGCTTGCCAAAACTTGCTGACCTGTGGTCAGTTCATAAGATAACTGATGATATGATGGAATGCCAGAGAACGTAGAAACTGAAGAAAGAGTGGTCTTGAAGAAATGAAAGTTGTTGGGTGTGTTGTTTTGATGCTAACTGTTGGCGTGCTGGTCACTGCAGCGGAGATGAGCGCCTTCAGGCCGTCGTCCTTTTATGTGGTATTCAGCACCAAAGTTGGAATCCAAGTGATGGTCCAGCTGTCTCCTGTCATGCAAGTCTTTGTTTCCGCTGATGTGTCACTTAAAGGAGCCACGTCAGGTACATCTCTACATTAAAGAATCGTTTCTGACATCCCAGCTGGGGACTAAGCCTAACTGGATCTTACTGACATCTTCTGCCATCAAATGCTCAGCAGTGTCCAAAAATTCTCCACAGGATTGTGCGGGAACTTCAACAACATAATGAGTGACGACTTCCAGGGGATCAGTGGACTTGTAGAGGGAACCGCTGCAGCATTTGCCAACACCTGGAAAACTAGAATCAGCTGTCCCAACATTGTGCAAAACTTTGGAAATCCTTGCAGCCAGGACATCAACAGAGGTACAGATAATTCCTTGCACACAGTGTGTCCTCTCTCTATACCTGATGCAATAAATGGGTCTTTGACAAATCTCCCCTGTCAAAGAGAGAAATAAGAATGAACACTGGAAAAACAGGCCCATCTTCATCATACTGAATATATTATGGAAGTTGTTGATGGCAGAAGCCCAGTTAATGCCTCCCATCAGGATGTTGTAAGAGCCAAACAGAGCCAGACCAGATGAAGCTACTATGGTAATAAAAAGAAAACATAATGTTCAGGTATAAAATATTGGAGAATTGGAGACTAGATCCCCCCCAAACACCAGATGTCGTTTAGACTTTTTTTTTTTTTTTTGGCTAAATCTGGTCAATCCTTCTTGATTTAATCCAAAAATAGTTTTTGAAAATTGGGCTGCATTTAGTGGGTCTGATTTTCTCCCACATTAGTCCAATAATAGACATTGAAAAGACATTGCATACCCAGTTTTCAAAGTTTTTTTCAACAATCTGAAATTAAAAAATGACGTAGTCCTGTCATTTTTACAAAGTCTTTTCAAACATTTTTTGCTCTGTGGGTAAGTAGAATTGAGCAGGGAGAGGAAAAGTGTGTCCTCCAGCAGCCAAAGTCTATAGCAGCATTAGCTTTCCTCATCACTGAGGATTATATGCTTTGCTCATAGCCCTAGAATCTCAGAAAATTTAGCAGTGTGAGTGGCACCATCCATGAGATACTTGCTACTGGGTAGCATTCAATATTATGCTAACTTAATTTGGGCATTTTTGTGTTTCAGAGACATATGCACAGTACTGGTGCTCCAAACTGACAGATCCTGTGGGAGTGTTTGCTCCTTGCCACTCTGTTGTCAGCCCCAGCTCATACAAAGATGTATGTCTGCAAACTTAAGGAATTGACCACATTTACAACCATTTAACCATCATAGATTCATCCATGTCTGCTATGTGTTTTAACAGAACTGCATGTACGACAGCTGTAACTGCGAGAAAAGTGAAGAGTGCATGTGTGCTGCAGTGTCTTCGTATGTCTACGCCTGCTCAGCAGCAGGAGTCCACATCAGAGGCTGGAGAGAAACCATCTGTGGTGAGGGAAACATCAGATAACATAGAGACACAACAGCCTGCATGGTAGATTAGAGTGTTTCATGAAGTTTTCCTCTTTTTTATTACACAGGAAAATTTAGCCAATCATGTCCAGAGGAGACAGTTTATGATTACAACATGACCTCCTGCGGTCGGACATGCCGCTCCCTCAGCCTGGCAGATTTCTCCTGCCAGGTCAGCTTTGCCTCTGTGGACGGCTGTGGCTGTGCTGAGGGAACCTACATGAACGAAGAGGGAAAGTGTGTGTCCAGTGAAAGCTGTCCCTGCTATGATAAGGACACCTTTATCCCCGCTGGACAGGCTATCATTAAAGACGGAGTAACATGGTAAAATTTTCATTTTAGGTTTATTTAAACTGCATTGACAGATCACCGTTTATCATCAAAGATCAAAGGGAAAATTACAACCAAATCAAAGACATCCCATTAAAAAATATTGGCCCCTGTATTATGTTGCTAACAAATAACATATTTGGTAAATGAAAATTTGAAGAAAATGAGATCCAAAAATGAAACATTGAAACAAGAAAGTTGATTAGGCCAGCTGAAAAAATAAAAAAAAGTTAACTGATTTTTAAATATTATTTCAGTTTAATATGGGAAAAAATCTCAAATTTTCTACTTTTTTTTCTCAGAATTCGGACTTTAATCTCAAAATTCGGACTTTCATCTTAGAATTATGACTTTTTTCCTCATAAGTATGACTTTAAACTCCGAATTGTGGATCTTAATGTAGATGGGCACCATGAAGGAAGAGAGGTGGGAGCACCCAGCTTCACTGACAAAGATGTGAGTTGTTTGGGAGGGCCAGTAAGACACTGGTGGAAAATGTCGGGATTAGCCGACTTTTTACGTGCCCGAGGGATCCCTGGTGAAGCTCTTTCATTAATGGAAGAGCAGAAGGTGATTAAAACGCGAGAGCCAGTCTCTAAAACAAACATGGCTATGGCTTAATGTTAACATGTATGTTAGCTGTCCGAATTCAGTCAAAATTCTGAGAAAAAAGTCTGAATTCTGTCAGAATTCTGAATTTTTTCTCATATTATACTGAAATAAAATTTTTCAATCATGTAACTTTTTTTATTTTTTCAGTGGCCCTAATCCTTTTCCGTATTGAAAAGCTTCTTAATCAAATAGATATTTTGAGAATTAATTAGATGTTAATTTCAGATTTCATGTGCCTCATATCTATTCCACCTGTTCTCACAGTGTCTGCAGACATGGAGCCCTGAGCTGCTCAGGAGGAACCATGCCACCGAGTAGGTTTCCATATCTGAATTTGGGGTTTAAATGAAGGTTATAAAATCCATAATCTCCAGTTTTGACATCTTCTTCACTTATTAAAACCTTCCAGCTTCCACATCATGTGCTGCCCCCATGATTTATTTGGATTGCTCCACTGCTCAGCCTGGGACCAAAGGGGCTGAGTGCCAGAGGAGTTGCAGCACAGCGGACATGCTTTGTGTAAGTAGAGCTAATTCTTTCAGCTCAAAAAGCATTGGATGTAAATCCACCAGCATTTTTTTTTTACCTGACTCTCCTTCACGCTGGCCACCGACAGATCAGCACAGGCTGTACGTCCGGATGCGTGTGCCCAGATGGCCTCTTATCAGATGGAGCAGGAGGATGCATCAATGAGACAAACTGTCCATGTGTTCACAACGGACAGGTCTACCAGCCGGGACAGACTCTGACAGTGGACTGTAACACCTGGTATGTAACAGGCGTCTGTGATTGTGGGGCTTGTTCTTTCTCCTTAAATAAGTTTTAAACGATGCTCCATCACCATTTAGCTGTCATCAAAGACTCTCATCTGCCTCTGACATGATCAGGTCTTTCCTTTGATTTAATTCAGATTTCTGTTTGTCATCACAGTTCATGTAGTGGAAGAAAGTTTACTTGCACCAACAATGTGTGCAATGCAGTTTGTGGGATCTATGGAGATGGTCATTACATCACATTTGATGATAAAAGGTTTGACTTCAATGGAGAATGTGAATACACGCTCCTCCAGGTAAGGAGCCTTCTAAGAACATAAACTGGAGTTTGAGATGTGGAATATTTTAAATTTGCTGGGCTTCACCAGGCAAAGGGGTGCAAACGCCCTGCAAAACAGCAAAGTGTAAACAACCTGCAAATACAAAACAGACATAAATGATGCTAACACAAACAAAACATATGCAAAAAGGACCTAATATGGGTCCAGACCCTAAGTCCAAACATAAACATTATGTTTATGTTTGGATATCTGCGTTGGGTATATCTGCGTTACCTGCAACACCCAAGCACAGCTTTTAGGGTCCGGTTCCCTATAAATTGTTGATTGTCTCCCCCTAGTGGTCTTGTGTACTCTTACATGATACTAGTATGCAGCTTTCTTAAACTGTAGTTGTCTTTGCTACCTGCAGCATTTTTCCTCTGCATGTATTCTGTGGGTTAATGTTAGCATCATTTATGTGTTTGCAATGTGTGTCTCTATTATCTGTGAAAGCAGCATTTTTTTTTGAACATGCTTTCCTTATTTTATTGTCTCATTTTTGTGTTTGCAATATTCTTTGTATTTGCTGCACATTTCTATAAATACATTTTTTTATCATATTTTTTTTAATTTTTTTTTAATTTTTTTTCTTGCAGTAAAGATATCTCCTAACCCAACAGATCCATTAAAACCCTTTTGACTGTATCAGTGAAATATTCTTTGTTTTAGTGAAAAGAATCAAACCCAGAGAGGATGCCCTGTCAGTGGATCTCTTTTTTCTTCTTACTCAGGATTACTGCAGCCCTGGTCAGGGAACTGGTAGCTTCAGTATCATCACAGAGAATGTTCCATGTGGAAGCACAGGAACCACCTGCTCCAAGAACATCAAGATCTTTCTTGGGGTAAACTCACCACACTGATGCCATCTACACCTGTCATCTGGTTCCAGCTGGTGACCAGGAACGGTTTAGAGCAGATGTTTCCAAACTTTTCCCATGCAGTGACCCCCAAACACTGTCAGCCTCCAGCCTGGGATCCACTTTTGCAAAATGACACTCAGTTCAACAAGAAATGTCAAGGAAAACCACATTTTTAATTTCATTCTATTTTTTTATATTACATTTTCTTTTATGTACAAATATTAACAAAAAATAATATTTCTTACTACTTGTCTTTATTTCTTGGGTTAGCAGACTGCATATAGTTTCCCACTAATTAGCACACTGGTGGTGACGAACCTTTTCCTCATATTTTCATTTGAGCTCATATTTTCCATATTGAGCATCACTTTTAATTAAATCTGGGATTTTAATCACTCCTTGAGTCATGAGCTGTACCATCATATCATCTAGCAATCTAACAGGGGCTCTACCAACTAGATCAACTTAGAAATCATCTTGCAGCTTTACAAATTGATAATGTGTCATAAAATTAAATCCAGACTGTCTTTAAGATGTTAAGATATAAAATCAATACCATTACTATCCAAATTTATATACATTTTAAGACAGGTTATATAAGTAAAAACATTATAATAATTGAACTTTATTGATCTCACACAAGAATTTTACCTCTGCATTTAACCCATCCCCTAGGGGAGCAGTGGGGTTAAGGGTCTTGCTCAGAGACCCAGAGTGAAGGCTGTGGGGATCGAACCAGGTTCTTGAGTCCTTCTTGGAGCAAAAGCGCACTGCTCTAACCACTAGGCCAGCAATCCCCTAAAAAGGAGTAAATATTGTAAACCGGGTCAACAGTACAAACTTTGCAATTCATTTAATAACTGAATAAAAGGCTTTTAGAGCTTTTAACAGCCACATCAATTTTGTGGAGTAATGCCATAGTGAAATACGGCTGCAATAATTGATAGATGTAGCCGTATGAATGTAGTGTAAAAAAAATCATAGACTAGATGAGTAATTTTCTCTTAAAATAAGTGCATTTGTTCTTGGATTGAGGAGATAAAAGAGACATTTGCCAATGGAACAAGACAATTTACATTTAAAATAATAAAACACAATTGCTTTTTCTTATTTCAAGTGCATTTTATGTTAAGAGTAAAAATACTAATTCCATTGCCAGATCACCTCATTTACCTACTTAAATTAAGGGTAAATACACTTTAATTTAAGAAATTTTTACTTATTTCTAGATTGTTTTTCCAGTGTGGCATCTGAAAAGATTATTCGAAAAGTGAAAATTGTTTGAAGAAAGTTAAACCAGATGTAAAAACACTGACAATCTCGCTTTAACATCACTTAGAGAGAAAAGTGATTTTACCAATAACTTTTTGATTATTATTTTTTTATTATATTCTACTAAGAAATGCTGGCGGTTCCTCCACTAGATTTCAAGACACAAATGACTGCGGTTTTATTGAATGTTTATCATTGTTTCTAGATCAGAAACACAAAAGTGTTTGTTATTCCTCCATGTTTCTTCCTAAAGTTTTGATGCGTTTCTAATGGAAATCAATACATTGAAACTGGTTGATGGGTTTCTGTCTCCCATTGTTCCCACATTCCTCCCCCAAATTTTAAATAATATAGAAACGTAAGAATAGGAAATAAAATTAAGGCACCATTTATAGTGATTGCAGAATGTTTAACATATTTTGTTGTTTTTTTTGTGTGTTTTTTATCCTTATGTTTAAAGGATAATGAATACCACCTTAAAGATGAAAGTTTCCACGTGGTCAAAGGAAACATCAAAGTTCTCCCTGCTTCAGTTCGGAAAATGGGCCTTTACCTGGTGGTGACCATCCAATCAGGACTTGTTGTCACGTGGGACAAGAAAACCAGCCTTTTCATTTCCCTCAGCCCAAAGTTCCAGGTAAGAACTAGAGTCTGTATGTTGAGATGTTTATTTTTCGGTCGTCACTTTAGATTTGTTACGTGTGGATATTTATAATTATCCTTTCTTTGGATTTTTTTCTCTTTTAACTAAGTTTTAAAATTTTACTGGCCTCTTTTCGTTTAATTCCTTCCCTCTAGGGTCAAGTCTGTGGTCTTTGTGGGAACTACGACGGCAACAGTAAAAATGATTTCAAAACACGTTCTCAAGAGACAGTGACGGATGTTTTAGAGTTTGGAAACAGCTGGAAAGTGTCTTCTAGCTGCTCCAATGCGCAGCTTCCCAGTGACCCCTGTGCTTCCAACCGGTACCGAGCAGCCTGGTCCCAGAAACAGTGCAGCATCATAACCAGTGGCCAGTTTAAGAAGTGTCATTCCAAGGTAACACTGAAATGGATCCATGTGGACATGAGTTAAACCCAGTGATGCTACAGATTAAATGTTTTTTCTTCATCTTCATCAATAAATGCATGATCAGCCGTGTCTAGATTATTCCAAAAAACTTTAAAAAACAATCCACTGGACTTTGTTTCCAAGTTTGAAGATGTTTCACTTTCAAAATAGTGTTGAGTTCGAGGCTTTATAGAGTGCACCAACAAAGCCTTGTTGTGGCTTAGAAAACATGCTAATTTAACCAGAAGAATGGGAATGGAGGTCGTCTGGGTTCTTTGTTAAAGGAGAATTCCGGTTTTTAACACTTTTAGCCCATTTTCTGTAGTGTCCAGGATGAAATCGAATGATCGACACCAAAATTTTGACAATTGGTCCTGTCTCTGCTTTTTGGCTCATTTAGAATCCACCCCCTGGCTGCTTCAGAATGGCTTCCATTGTGCATGTCCGATAATGTCCTTAAAACAACCTTAAACGTTCTTTTTTTAAAATATGCTACTCACCGGGTTGTCAGCGCTGTTCAATGACGTTCCAAAAAAAGTTTCGTAAAGAAAAAACGTTCCTGTAGTGTTTTATTTAGCATTTTGTAAATCCCATTGAGTTCTGTTGGAATAGTCAATATTCCCCTGCCACCGGAAACGGAAATGGGGCCTGTTTACACAGTTGTAGTCTTTTCGCTTCACTCTGTGTACTCCGACGTCGAGAATCAAGAATCCACCTTTCGTATTCCATTTTCAGAGTTTTTTAAAGTGTTTAACAGAGACGTTAGCACCTCGACGTCGGAGTACACAGAGTGAAGCGAAAAGACTACAACTGTGTAAACAGGCCCCATTTCCGTTTCCGGTGGCAGGGGAATATTGACTATTCCAACAGAACTCAATGGGATTTACAAAATGCTAAATAAAACACTACAGGAACGTTTTTTCTTTACGAAACTTTTTTTGGAACGTCATTGAACAGCGCTGACGACCCGGTGAGTAGCATATTTTAAAAAAAGAACGTTTAAGGTTGTTTTAAGGACATTATGGGACATGCACTATGGAAGCCATTCTGAAGCAGCCAGGGGGTGGATTCTAAATGAGCCAAAAAGCAGAGACAGGACCAATTGTCAAAATTTTGGTGTCGATCATTCGATTTCATCCTGGACACTACAGAAAATGGGCTAAAAGTGTTAAAAACCGGAATTCTCCTTTAACCTGCAATACTGTCTATGTCTCTGAAATGGGGGTAACAAAGTCCAGCAGATTGTTATTTTTAACTTTTTTGGAATGACTATGACCTGGATGACTGAGAATCTTCACCAGCGTGTGTAAATTATATGATACGGATTAGAATGAGACTGACTGCAATTCTCAAATGAACTTTATGTTTAAGGTTGATCCCGGCCCGTACTACGATTCCTGTGTGAGAGACTCTTGTGCTTGTGACACTGGGGGTGACTGTGAGTGTTTCTGCACCGCTGTGGCCGCCTACGCCAAAGCTTGTAATGCAGCTGGGGCCTGCATCAGATGGAGAACGCCCAAGATGTGCCGTAAGTTTGGCCATCAACGCTGCTGCAACGCTGCACTGACACTTCTGGAGGCAAAACCAAAAACAACATTTTTTAAATTACTATTAGATTAGTTTAATTTTTTCAAATCACATATTTGATAGTCAATTTGAAATACTTTAACCTACACAATAAATCTTGTAAAGTCGATCAAATACATATTTCAATCTAACTGCATGTTATTATTCTTGTAGCTATTTTCTGTGACTACTATAACTCCGATGGTGGCTGTGAATGGCATTACAAGCCCTGTGGAGCAGACTGCATGAAGACATGTAGGAATCCGTCCGGAGACTGTTCCAAGCTCATCAACAATATGGAAGGTAAACATTTATTCAGCATTTAACCTTTTCATAACATGAGGACCCAAATTTGGGTCCTCAGCACTCGCCCCAAGATGGTTTTTAGACCTGTAACATATTCTCTGGGGTCTTGCCTTTATTTTGATACCAAAACAATTAAAATAAACTCTGTAGTTCTTGAGATATATTCAATTCATTTTGGGCATGTTATTTTCAAGCATATTTCTCGAAAACAAGCAACAGAACTAATTTACTTTCTTAAATCGTATTGTTACGTGTTTTAAATAGTCATTTATACTGTATTTTTCTTTCATCAACATTTACTCTTTCATAGTAAATGTTAATTAATTTTCCATAATAACTGATTTTCTCTATAGACCTACACTTATTATGCATTTTTCTGAATTTAATACATTCAAATTATTATTAAATTCAAATTTAATAAATTCAGGGTTTTTTTTCTGTTGTTGACAGATTTGCTTAACCTGCGTCCTTAGTTTAGCTTCAACGGGCGCAACTGTATTAATTATGTACTGCACTACATTTTAAAGTTGATGACAATAAAATTCTAAATATGAATTGTTTGGAACGTTTACAAGAGAAAGCCTTATCTCTAAAAGGATATGGCATAGTAACTGAGTCTTGCACAAAGTATAGTATTGAAATCAAAACACTTTTAGATCCGTGTTTTTGGCATTCATGACACAAAAGAAGAAATATCTACTGAGACAAAAGAAGAAATATTTACTGAAAACCAAACCAAGCATGTCAGGCATGAAATCCATTAACTTTTTGCATAAATACAAACACACTCTATAGTCAACTCTATCAGCCATTTCTCTCACAGTTAAAGCTTTATTTAGAGATGAAAGAAATATAAAACACTGGCTAAAAGCTGGGGACACGCACGTGTAATCTGTTTAGAATTCAATGCCATTTCTTCAGTTTGCGAATGTCTTATTAGGGTTGAAACAATTAATCAGATTCATCGTGATTAATTGAGTATTGAAATAATCGTCAACTGATTTAGTAATCGTTTAATTGTTAAGTGGAGAATATAGAGACTCTAAAACATGTCTTTAGCTGACTCAGCGACTCACTTAGAGCAGTAATTATACCACAATTGTGGAAAATAAATTAAAATTTTGCATTTTGGATAGAAAACATTTTCGTCTGTCAATATGCTCCGTCCAGAACTCCACAAGTGGATAATTTTGAGTTTCACCCGGTTTAATTTTGTAAAAAATCTTCTTTAACGCACATTTTGCTATCTGATTATTAATCAAGAGATGAATCGATTTGCAAAACAATTTCAGTTTCAAAAACCAGTTTCAGCTCTCATGGTTATCTGGCATGAGCCTTAGTGCTGACCTCTGCCTTCAGTAAGAAGAAAACAAGTAAAAGTTCAGTTCCCCCTTAGAGTTCCTTTAGAGGATGTTGTTTTTACTGTGGGATCGATTCTGGGACAAAAAAAGCTGTGAGGTAAGAATTAGTAGCCTGGAGACAAAAGGAAATGAGTCAAAATCAGTTAAATCCAAGATGAGTCACTGACTGGCATTTAGCAAAAGAATTAATGACAAATTACTTTACTACTTGACTGTTAAGCTTTGAATGATCTAATGCCACTGGGATGATATTTAGTGAAACAGAGTCTCTAACATTGGGTGATGCATAGAAACATCATTAGGAGAACATCAACTCCTTACTTTTCTATCCATCTCCATTAAATAACATGTTATTTTTGTATTACATAGGCTGTTATCCAAAGTGTCCTCAAAGCAAGCCATTCTTTGATGAAGACACCATGAAGTGTGTTGCCTGGGACCAGTGTGGATGCTTTGATGACAAGGGGACCCATTATTGCCTAGGAGAGCAGGTCCCATCCAAACCCTGCTACACATGGTACGTCTCTTATCAAAATCATTATCCTATTCTCTTAAAACCTTAACTGCTGCATCAAAACAGAGCTACTAGCTTTTATGAAATGTGTGCTTTCTAAAACATTTGCATTTCCAAATCATATTAATCTTTATGACATGGTTTGTGTTTGTCATTTCAAGTACCGGTACTTTTTTTTTTAAAAGATTGATAGTTTACCCCAATTAGTGGGTAGGATTATAACTACATATGCTTTATAAAGACTGTTCTTTCCGGAATAGCTCATTTTAATATTTAACTCAGTTTTACTGTGTTACCCACGAATAGTTTGAAGATTAAAATCTGAGGAAAATGTATGTTTCATTGTATTGTTTGATGATAACTATACAATTAACATAAATGTTCTAATTGTTAAAGCTCCTGTACATTATCTGGGATAATATGCGACTACAGCCTTAATTGTGAGTATAAATCATAACTGATAGGTTTCAGCTTGCCAAGAAAATGTTTACAATGTAAAAGTTTTTTTTTATTTGAGTGGATAACACTATTTCTTTACCCTACAGCTTGTACATGTACAGTTAATGGAAAAATTTACAACTATGGTGATATCATCTACAATACCATAGATGGTCTGGGAAATTGCATTACAGCTGAGTGTGCAGCCAATGGAACAATATCAAGAAGCATGTACCAATGCACCAATACAACAACGGCTATGCCTTCCACATCTCCATTTACATTTAGCACAGCTCAGACCCCCACACCAGGTATAAGACCAAGCTATAGAGTTGTAAAAGTTGGCAATGTGTTATTATTTGTTTTCTTAAGTATGCCTGTATGTTTTTAAGCTGCATCAAGTACAAAAGGAGCTACAACACAACCAGGGGAAACAACTGAACAAACAACATATGCTACTACAACAGTAACTGAAACCAAAACTACAGGAAACCAAACCCAAAGATCCACAACTGCGTATGTAGAAATAACCTTTCCTGGAAAAACAACAGTGGAGATTGGAACAACAAAACCCTCAGAGGTTGGCACAACAGGCCCAGTGACTGGCTCTGTAACAGAAATTTTAGAGACCACAACTATAGTACC